GCTGGAGCCAGACTATGTCTTACAGTTCCTTTCATCCTCTTGACTGGATTTTAAAATGTCTGGTGAAGATCTCTGTGCAGAATGCATCCCAGCAGCTGCTGGGACAGGCAGGCAAGGACATGGGTGGCTTTAAAGAAAATATTTTTGACATGGGTTTCCTGAAACTGCTGGAACCTGGAAACTTGCTGGGAGGTGTGCCCTTCCTTTGCTTGTGGGCTGAGCATCCTGCTGCTGCTTTCATGTGGTACAATGCTCTCTGCAAAGCCACTTTCAAAATCATGGCAAAAATACATGATTTTGAGGTACTTCTTCTTTGTCTTCCCCTGGCCTGAAATCATACAGCTGAGTTGAAGGACTGTTGACCTGAAAGAAACTATTTCCCTGTATTGCTGTGGTGGATGTGAAGGGGGGGACACTGTGAGATGTCACAACAGCACAGTCTCTCCCTAGCTTTGGCAGAGCTGACTGGATCAAGAATGCTCTGGTTACACTTCTCTGAAAAATAATCACATGTAACATCTTCCAGACCCCTGTCCTGCTACTGCAATCAACCAGCATCTTTAGATTCCTCCTAGTTGCATGCAGTGGTCACAGCCATCCTTAGAAACCAGCTCTGTGTGCTTCTTGGGCCAGGCTGGGCCTCAGGTGCTTTCTGTGACCTTGCTCAAGGCACTTACCTCTCCCTTCAGCTTCCTGCTGCTATCAAAGTGGGAATATTCCATCCCTTCTTCCTGCCTGTGAGCAGTCTGGGGACAGACATTATGCACATCACCTGCCAGACAGAATATGGGCTGGAAATTAATTGACCTGAGCTGATGAGGGCTTAAAATCCCTTGAATTGCTTAGAGTTTCTGCTTGAAATTGATTCTCACTTGTTAATGTTCGTGGCTTCTGAGGGTTTTTTTATATCAAAATGATTTTAGGGATGTGGTTCCTCTGCACTGCTTTCTGCTGGTTGCTCTGACAAGAACTGGAAGTACCTAATGTCCTTGAAAGATAGAGCAGGAATCTTTTATTTTCTTCACTTCCCCTCCTGATCTTGTGATCTGATTAACCTGACATCTTTGTCTCTCCTCTTTGTTCTGTCTCTGGGAACCCTCCATACCAATACCTTTTTCTTCTGCATTACATGTGTTTTTGGAGCACAGTTATTGCTCTTCTTTTAGTGGAGGATAATTGCTTCAGGGGAGAGTGCCTGGGCCACAGATGCTTTTTTTTTACTGGGGATAAATGCAATCATGGATAGCATTTAGAGGTTTGTTTTGTGGGTTTTTTTAAAGATGGCTTTTTACAGGAGGACTGTTAGAAATTGCTGCCTGAGTCCTGAGGAGGTACTGGGAGGAAGGGCCAGGGTTCACCTGAGAGCCAATCAATCTGCATACCTAATTGGTGTTGACAAACTGAATGTGGAAGGACTCTCTAGGTTACCATGGGAACAAAAAAGGAGGTGAATTCTGGTTCAACGCGTCTGAGCAAAAGGATGCCTCAGCATGTTTTGTTCTTGGGCTCTGCAGAAGGGGAGGGGGAAACATCTCTTCAACCCACTTCTCTCTGAATTCTTGGCCAGCTTGAAACAGTCTGGGGTCTCCTGAGAGTCTTGTTATCCTGTCATTTTATGCCTGTGAGTCCCAGGCTCCTCCAGGGAGTATGGGCTCTCCCTGGTCTTGCTGTGTGAGAGGATGTGGTGTCCTTGCAAAAGGTCTCCCAGGATCCTGTTCCAGCAGCTTGAAGCAGTGGGTGGGAGAGCAGCCAGACTGACAGGAAGCAAAACCAGGCAGAGAGGGAACCAAGTGTTCAGGTGTCTGTGTGTCCTGAGTGACCAGCAGGCATTAGGTTTGGGATCAGCAAATGCTGCAGCCTGCACAGGCTCACTGAGCAGGGTGGGCAGGGACACTGGGAAGGAATAGGACAATTCTTGGCAGTGTCCCAGAGTCTCCATCTCTTTTTCAGGCAGGAGTGGACTTGCCACTACTGCCTCCTGTTTGGTGGCTTCCAAGCAGATCTCACAGGCTGCTTCATGGAGCAGAGTTTAATTGGCATTTCACATCCTTCCTGAACTACTGAACACAAGGAATATTTTATTGTATCTGGGATTTCTGGCTACCTTATTAGAGGGCCAAACATCTCTTCCACTTCCCCAAGCAACTTATTAAACAGAGGCACTTGGGCAGCATTTGGCAAAAGCTTAATTCTCCTTCTTGTACTGACTGTTTGTCACTTCTTTTCATATTCAGAACCAGAATGAAGATGTCAAGAAGCAGCTGCTTGACCTGCAGCTGCAGCACAACAGCTTGAAACTGGAACATCGTAAGACACTGGAGACCCACAGCCAGAAATATGCCCAGCTGCAGCAGGAGAGGGACAGCGAGGTCACAAACCTGCAGGGTGAGTGTGAGGGAGAGCTGAGAAAACGCCAGAGACAGGAGTAGGAGCACCAGGTTCAGCCATCAGATCATGCTGCCTTACCCTGGCCTTTCTCTGGTGGGTGAGTGTAAATAACTTCACAAAGATGCTTCTTGTGGCAGAGAGAAAACATTGTGACATGTGGGTATCCCATCTATTTCAATATGTATTTTCCAGTTCTCTGTCCACACAGTGGAAACCAGTTTCTATCCTACTAGAATCCTGTAAATTCTAACATTTAAGCTTGGGAGCAAATTAAACATACTTTTTGTAATGAATGATGTAGGTCTTGCACTCTTAAGAGTGCAAATATTGCAAGGAATGCTGATCCCCCTAATTCCCAAAGAGCAGTTGCTGTTTAGTCTGCTGTTTAATTAGGTTCTGGGGTTTTAAGGTTCACATCTGTTCTTATTTAGGTTAGGTCTGGGAGAGCAAAATGTGCTTGTGTTTTGTTGTTTTTTTGTTTTCTCTGGTCAACACAGCCCCAGTATCTGATGAGCACTTCTGGGTTAGAAAGGGAGAGCTGAGCACAAGCAAGTGAAGCTTAAATATTTGATTGTCTCTCTTCTTGAAATCCAGTTCTATCAGAGGAAGGAGAATAATGCTCAGAAAACCAATGGGAAAAGGGAAGCTAATCAGGAAGGTTGGCTTAAGGCTGAGATATTAATATTCTTCCCAGGCTACTGCTCACTTGGGACTATCACTACACTTGGAAAAGAGCTCTTATCAGAATTTTTTTCTTCTCTTCTCTTGCAGATACAGTCTTTAAACTCAGAGAAGAGAGCAAGCTCCTTCGGAAGGCCCACCAGGAAGTTCACTCTCAGCTCCTCAGTGCCCAGGTAACCAGCCAGGGGCTGTTTGTGGCCACACAGGGTGGAGATGGCTGAGCCCACAAAGTACAGAGGGGGAGGCACAGCTTGTGGGGTGGGTACAAGCAGTACGTGGCAGTCAGGGCAGTGAAGCTGCTCTAAAGTCTCTTCCCTTTGTGCCAACCACCTTCACAAGCTTTTGATGGGCCCCAGTTCTGCCTTCATCTAGCTTGTTCTGACTGGAAGCAGTCTCCTACTAGCTAGGGCTGTATCCCATGAACTGTTCTTGGCTTCCTTTTCCTCATTCCTTTTATGTTAGCTACGCTGAGTTGTTTTGTTGGGAATTGTTTTGGTTGTTTTTTTTTAATGTTAGTTTTAAGGTCAAATTTCAGGGGAAGAACTGAAATCAACAGAGCCTGCTCAGGAATTAATTTCCTGCTAAACTTTCCGTGCTGCTTGGAAACTTTCCTACTCTGCTCAGTCCCTAATTTGGTCCATTTCCAGGTACCCTGGCAAGGATATGAAAAGCTCTCTCCCCTCACTTTCCTATAAATAACAGGGGGAAGAGTGGGGAACTTTTCCTAAGTAGCTTTTTCAAGCCCTGCACTTCAGGGTTGGAGATAGAAGAAAAAAGCTGCAGCAGAGAGAAGAGTGTGGCATTTGCTGAACAGTCCAGGAGAATCAGTTTTCATTTGCCTTGCAAAGTAAATTGCTGAGTAGGATTATGCCAATTATCCTCAGCCCCTCTGAGATGAGCACATCCGTGGAGAAATGTCTCCACAGGAAAAAAAAAAAAGCTGACCTTGAAGGTACATGTGTGTGAGGCACAGGAGGAGAAGCTTGACAAGAGCCAGGACACAGTTCCTGTGCAAAGGCAGGAGTCACAGCAATGGCTTATGCACCGTGTTGGTCAAGGAGTCAGTGTCCTGGGTCAGCACTTCCAGGGTAAAGGTATGCAATAAATTAAAATGAAAGACTGGCAAAGGGGGAATACAGAATATCTGTGAAATCTGGAGGGAAAGCTGAAGACCAGATTGGACTTAATCACTGTGAATTATCTCCAGCCTTTCATAGATATAAAATGTTTCTTCTTTAGCATGAACCTGTGCTGCACAACTGGCCCTTCTCTGTGACGAGTTGCTTAACCATGTTACTTGTGAGATTTCTCTGTATCCTTCTCATCTCCACAGGCCCAGATGGAAGAGTTCAGGCAGCTCAAGGAAGCTCTACAGAAGATGCCAAGCTTCAAAGCAGGAGGAGCTGGGAAGGGGCAGCAGCAGCTTCAGGTGCCAAAGGAGCAGCCCATGGCACCAGCCAACAGCCAGGCACAGCTGGCCAGGCAGAAGGTGTGGTACTGCCAGGAGACCCCAGGGAGGAGACTTCTGCAGGGCTTCTGTGGGTCTTCAGCATGGGGCTTTGAACTGGAGAGAACTGAGCTTGTTCCTCGAGCTTGCTCTTGTCCTTTCTTCCCTGCAGGCTCTTCCAGTTAACCAGGAGAATCATCCTGCTGGGAATGGGAACTTGCTGGCCTCGCAGGTCGCTGGAGCTCAGAAGCTGGCAGAGGGGCCTCAGCTGCAGGGCCATAACCCCTACAGCAATGATGGCCTGAGGCCACAGGCCAACATGCTCTTTACCCACCCAGCCCCACTGCAAGATGCCAATTCACTGCCAGGGGCTTTGCCAGCCTGGCCAGCCAGACACGGGGATGGCCACATCATCCGCTTCACCCGGACCATGAACAGCCTGCCCAGTGGGAACCCAGTAAGTCCTGCACATTTGGGGCTTGCTTTATGTAGCCCTTGCTTTTGAAGCTCAAAAAGATGGTATTTGTAATGACATGCATGTGTGCATTCCTCTTCCCTGGTGTGAAAACTGTCCTGACCTCAGGTTTCAGACTCCTGTGTACTCCTGGAGTCTGTGGTTGAGAGGCTGGGCTCAGACAGACAGGCTGGAGTTCCCTTTCTGGATCCTGCTGGATTTGCAAAGAGTAAATCATAAAAGCAGCTCCATGGCCTCCTGGGGTGACTGAGAGGGAGCTTATGGAAAGCAAACCTCTAAAAAAAGGCAATAATTGCAGTATGGTTAGACTATAATTACAGTAACTATTATAATAGCAACGTGTGTTGTTCTTTTTTAGAAGTGCCTGTGTGCTGCTCCTCTTTTTTTGGAGATTCATCTGTCTAAGACAAACTTGAGTCACATAGGATCCAAATTATTTCCTCTTGGCTGTGTGGCATGAGAAGAACCTCTTTAGGTGCAGGCTGTCAGGACAGGACTGTAGATTAGTTCTGGAGCACTTCTGGATCTGTTGTTCTTTGACAAAGGATCCCTCTGGTCCATAAGCCTGCCCAAATGCAAGGGAGATCTGTAGGTACCTGCTCAGATGTGGAGCTTGGAGATGTCCTGGTGTGTGCTGAGGATGCACATGTCTTCTCTGCAGGATCTCAAGATGGTGATGCGCATTCAGGTGAGAAGTAACAAGGAGAGCCAAGCTCCTGGATTGTCACTCTCTGACCCAAACCAACCACCTGCAGCAGAAAAACCTCAGATGCCAGACAACCACCAGCCCCCAGGGAGCAGACAGGTGCCAATGCAGAGGTTGGTGAGACCAAATTCCCTCCTGCTCTCCATGTTCAGCCTCAAAGGAACCATACAGGCTGGTCCCTGGCCTCTCTCATGTTGATTGTGGTTTGAATCATAGAATCATCATCATTTCTATTTGAAAGATGGTTGAAGAAAGTGTTAGTTCCTGGTCCCACTGTCAATCTAATTCTTGTAACTGACTTGCTGCCAGGTCTGTCTCGACTGGAGCAGACTGGTGGTGGTGTGTGATTGAACTCTCAGCCTGCTATGGGTGCTGTGCTGGAAAAAAATCCCCACCAGAGGCTCTTGTGTGACTGGTGTGTGCTCTGCACCTGCCTCTGCTCTTGAACTGTGGGCTGAAGTGTGTGTTGTGGGGAGAGAAAGAGGAGGTGCTGCTGAGTGAGTTGGGGTCAGCATGGATTTCCTACTAGCCAGAGGAGAAGGTGGGAAGGGAGTCTGGACTGACTGCAAGAAATCTCCTCCCTTCCAGTGATGGTGACTTAAATATCCTGTTTTCTTTAGCAGACTGAAGGAATTCTGCATGATGGAAGCAACCCATCTGCAGCAGGAAGGGTGGCTAAGAATTCCTTCAGCCTCTATAAATAAGAGGCATTAAGTTGTATATTAGAGCTGCAACTTGCTAATTTTTTCCACTAATTAATCAGTAATCTGCCAAGATCTGCAGGAGCAACCAGACATTGAAGATCTGAAGCTGTCTCATCTCCAAGGTTACGTGTAATCTAGAAGCAAGGGCTTACAAGAAAAGACTGGGAATCTTCTGAGCTTAGCTGAGACCTTGGTATTAAAATTCCCTGACACTTGGGCCTGTTGCTCCTATCAGACATCCCCAGCACAATATGTTCTCCAGCTCCAGTCTAGAGGAAAACAGGAGAGGAGAGCTCTGGGGAGGGGAGTCCCTTGAAAGGGGCAGAGGTTCAGAGAACAGGATGGAATTCCTACAGCATGGTACTTGTGTTGCTGTAGTACCTGGGAGCCTAGTCAGGGACCTGGATCCTGTTGTACTGGATGCTGCAGAAGCACAGGAGGAAGTGTTTACTTCCTCAGAGCACTCACAGAAAACCAGTTAGTTTTGCAAAAGGAAGAAAATGTCTTTCTGAGGCTGCAATTCATCAAAGTCTGGCCATAAGCCAAAAACTGACTCTGAAAATAGTGCTTCCTCATTTAACTTATTTATCCCTTGTCTGTGTCCAGGTCATATCTGCTCAGTTTACTGGAGCAAACAAGATTTAATTTCTATTTTATCTATAAGAGGAGGCTTCTGGATTTCATTCTAAATTCAGCCTGATCCTACCTGTTCTTATCTGCCATTTTTGGTTGTTCCCTTAACCCAGAGTCTCCCCAGGTCAGAGATTGTGCTTTGCCAGTTTCTTTAAAGGGCAAAGTCCTGCCCATCCTGCTTTGACAGGTAACATCTGCATGGACACACAGAGGATATTCTGCCTATCTCAGGGAAGGACTTGTGTGGGTGTGACTGGAGGTGAGGGTTGAAGTGGTGATGGCAGAACGGCCTTTCCTCAGCTCCTTAGAGTGGACACCATCAGAAAATGCCAATACTGGTTTTGTTTGGCAAATGGTTTCTGCCAGGACAGAGCTCATGGTATGTTTGGTGTGCTTTGCTTTTACTTGATCTATCATCAAGGAATTACTGAGCAGCTGGAGGCTGTTATTTACCCTGCAGGAGGTGTGTGATAAGGAGAGCAGAAACCAGCTTTCTCCGGAAGGTCTCGATGCCAAGAACAACATCAGACCTCAGCAGAGCACAGAAGGGGCCTTAGAGCCAGTGCCAAGGGCTCAGCCTTGGGTGGCTGAGACCAGCAGATTCCAGAGGAGCCCTGGATGGCCAAATTTGCATGTTGATGGTTTTATAATGGGGGAAATCTGAGCAGAAGGCTGGGTTATGATTTTTCTTCCTGAAAGTTCTGTGTGGTGGCAGTATGCTGGCTTAGGAAAGCTCTCAGTGTCTATTTAGAATTGGAGTTCATTGCTCCATGGATATGTTTTGGTATCACATAATTAATATTAAAGCAGTTCTACAATGAATTTCGTTATAAAGCATAACTTATTTTGTATTTATGTGGTGTGTTAGATGTTCTGTTTCAAGCAGATATCACAGCAACTAATGCAATCTGCTAGTTTTGCCAAAAGAAGTTAAATTAGGACAAACTTCTTTGTGTGTTGGAGTTTTTTTTCCTCTGCTTGCCATTTCTGAAATAGCATTTTGCAATCTCTCTTGACATACTGAGATGGGGGGATTCTGTTTTGTTTCCTACCCCCGTTGCAGCTGGAAAGACATAGTTAATAAAGTGGATAACCAAAGGGATGAGGAACAAGTGCACAGTTACCCAAAGAGCCTTCATCTGGATCCCAAGCCTGGGCAAGAGATGCAGAAAGGCAGCCCCCAGCCAGCAGCAGGTCAGAAGAGAGGGGAAGAGCATCCAAGAGCTGCTCAGGAGGGCGAGAAGGAAAGGACAGATGAGGAGGAACTGGAAATGGGTATGTTTCCCTAATCCTGTGCTGGACAGGACTCATTTATTGCTGATCAAGGTGGGGAGGGAGGAAGTGCTTGTGTGTGAGAGTGCTGGTGTTCAAGGAAACCTTACAACTCTTGGAAAAGTCTGATGCTTTTATTGTCCTTGGTCAAATGAAAAGCCTGGACCATTTTCCATTCTTGTTCCCTGTTGTGCTGCAACCTCACACATTTCCAAAGTAGTGGACTCACAATCTGTGTAAGTGAAGTCAATTCTCCTTTCTTTCTTACGGGAGTGAGAAGGAAAATGTCCCAGTTTTTTTTTGCAAGACTTGATCTCAGTCTCCCATAGGAATTGACTTAATTTTTTTTAGAAGTGGGTTTTCTAACTTAGGAAAGAAAATTTCCCAACTCTCCTTAGGAGGCTAAAAGCAAATAAATGAAGGGGCAGCTACGTGGACTGGTCAGTCAGCCACCAGGGCAGCTACAGCTGTTTTGAAGCCTGGTAATAACTGCAGTTGGGCAATGGAGCTCTTGGAACAGGATTTAGAATTCCTCAGCCTTCTGCTCTGGGTCTCTTCAGACCCCTGTGCACTGAATCACTCAGCTAATGACAGACTGGGTGAAGCATTTGTCTGAGTGTGAAGTTCATCATCTCACCATGAAACCAACTAATGAATAATCTATTAGGTGATGCATCTGAGAGCAGAATCTTTGCCTCCTCTTCCAGTGTGAACACTTTATAAACAGGTTTCTCTGCTGCAAACAGCCTCTGCCATCCATTTATCTTGCACACTTGGAAAAGAACCTGCCAGACCTGGAAGTTAGCAAGTCACCTTTGTCAAAAAAAGGGACACTGAAATGTAGATATGAGTAATTCTAATCCTGTGTGTTGCTAGACTGAGGAAGAATGATTAAGTAGGTGGCTTTTCATGTAGTAATTTTTTACTACGGTCTTGGATGCAGTAAGGCAGGGGAGCCAGGAGCTGACTCCTGAGAGGTTCTCATCTGAAATGCTGGCTTGCATCCTATTTAAGATGATTAAGATGGTCTCAGCCTGGTTTCTTCACCAGTAGATTTTGGCTCTGGATTTGGAACAGGGGAAGGACGTCACAGGGCAGGGATTAAAGCCTGTGGCTGAACCTTGGGTCAAAAGGCTGAAATCCCCCAAGATGGGGCATTTCCTCCCAGGCTCTTGGCTCAGTTCACTCTGTGCAGGTGAAGTTCTCCCTCCCAGAACAGCAGCAGTTGGGTCACACTGCTGATGTGCACAGAGGGGCTGGTCTGGAGAGGAGGTTTGGTGTGCCTGTGCTGGTCCACAGCCACCTTTGGCTGCTATTTCATGTTTTGCTTTAGCTGCCATTTCATGTTTTGCTGACCTGATTTTCAGCAAGTCCCCTCAGAGGACCTGAACTAATTGGTTCACATCAAAATGAATTCTACCCTGAAAAGAAAAGGCCTCATGGCAGGTATAGAGGAGTGTGAGGACCAACAGCTCTTGACCTCTGTGTCCTAATTGGGATGAACAGCCACAGAACTGACTGGGCTGCCCTGGCCCTGGTGCTGGGAATGTTGGTGTCTCACAGGGTCCTGAGGTGTCCTATTCTGGCAGCTGGAGGAGAATGGTGCTGCTCTGCCCTCTGAATGGGCCTGAGGAGACATCCCTCTGGAAGCACACATGGAGCCTGCAGGCAGGTTGAGACAAATCCCTGTGGGACATGGAGTTAATTCAGCAAGAATCCTAACTGGTGGGACTGGATTTTGAGAGGTTGCACTGGTAACTGTCCCTTTTCCTTGCAGATGCAGGAGTGATTGAGAGAGAGGAGAACCTGCATTCTCAGAAGGAGCTTGTTGCCCAGGAGCCAATGGTAAGTGTCACCTGGGTGCAACCCCAGCTCTGAACAAGATTCCAGCTGTCCCACTTACATCCATGCTTTCCCAGAAGTTTGTGTAACATGCAGCTCCAGACTCCTTGGTTCTGGAGGGGTTCAGAGATAACAAAGACTGAGGGAGGGTTGTTTTCAGAACCATTATCATGCTTGAAGAGAGGTGTAACTGCTTGCTGGGGAAGGCAGTCTCACCTTGGGCTCTGTCTCCCAAGGGCATGTCCTGCCTGGTATTCACAAGAGGCTTTTTTGTCCAGATGCCAGATGATGCTGCAGATCCTGCCCAGGATCCCAATAACCAAGGGGAGGATGAGTTTGAGGAAGCTGAGCTGGAGAGACCTGACTTTGAAGAGAAGATGGGAGGTTTGGAGAAGTTCAAGGAGCCCAGCATGAAGGAAGAGTCTAAGGAGAAGCTACTGAAGGTGACTGACCTGAGGGCAACCAGCAGGGACCAGGGAGAGATCCCCAGCTATGAGCAGGGTGAGGCAGAGGACTTAAGGACTCAGAGTAAAAACACATCATATTCCTGGATGGATCCAGAATCCCACCACAGGGTTATGGAGAAACCTTCAGAGAATCAGTGGGTTGGTCAGTACCAGAACTTGTTCTCTCCCTGTCCTCTCTGCTTGCTGAAGGCAGCCTTAGCATTTGCAGCACCTACATGTCTGGAGAGACAAGGAGCACGAGCTGGCTCTTGCTGCAGAGGTCCTGTGTCCTCAAGCACTTGAGAGACCAAAACCAGAGACAATACCAAGGACCTGTGCTGAGGTCTGGTGAGAGCAGGCACTGCTGCTCCTGGGAAGGGCAGGCTCCTGGCAGCAGGGACAGCAGGTGAGGATTCTGCCTCCTTTTTGCCTGCTTGCAGATGGAATCCATTTCATTTGCAAAGTGCTTCTTGCTGTCTGAAGCCAGGTCCTGCATCAGGGAAACATGAGCTTGTTTTGATAAGCAGCTGAGTGTTGCTTGTTTTAAAAAGGAGTGGTTTATCTGTCAGGCTCTATAGTCATGATTAATAGTGAGGTTTAAAATATATATGTATGTGTATATATATATATAAAATCCAGGCCAATGAAAGCAAACAAGAAAGAGATCTGGCACCAGCAGAGCAACACCTCCTAAAGGTTAGGGAAAATGTGGAAAGAATTAGTGACAGAAATACCTGCCTTTCAGATAGGGCTGGGCTGTGCTTCCTGGAGCTCTGCACTAAGGAACTTGTAGGTTCCCTGCAGCCCTGGGACCTTCCTGCTGCAGGAGAGGCCTCTCTCCCTGGTGGAAGGAACTGGGCAGTTACCAATGGCAGGTGGGAAGGGAGACTGGTTGGAGAAAGTAAAGATGGAGTTGGGGTGTCCTCATTGTCTCTCCACTGGCCTCTGATCCTTGCTCTGTAGCTCAGCCTTCCAGACCTGGGGCTCTAATACAGGAGAGCTGTATCCCTGGCAGGGAATGGAAGTGATTGGGGCACCATCAGCAGTGTCTGACTTCCTGTGTTTTTCAGGATGCTGACAGACCTGCCAAGCCCAGGGAAGAGCCAGTGGAGGACTACCAAGAAGATCAGGAGCAAGAAATTGTACGACTCCAAGGTTCTTCCCCTTTCCCTCTCTGGTGTGTTTGTTACCTGGGTATGTTGGGAGCCAGGAGTTGAGTGTGACCCAGCATTTAGGTGGGAGCACCCACTTCAGTTTTGGCTCTGCCTGCTCAGTGAGGTGGGTCTCCAGAACAAACCTGGAACTGACTTACATCTGCTCCCTTTTCTTTTTCAAGCTTCCAGAGCACCCTTTACACTCTGTCTCCCCTCCTCATTTCTTTCTGCACCCATCTGCAGCAGTTGAGCTGTGAGATGTTCACCAAACAGCTCCTGGGGGGATTATGAGCTGTGCTGGTGCAGCAAGGCAAGATCAATAGGTGTTCTTCTAATCATCACCCTGGGGTTTTAATTCCTGTGGTGAGAAATTCATTGGGAGCTCTGCAAGTCACATAAAAGTATGGGTGACAGGAGAATGTGACATCTCACTCCTGAGGCAGGAGGGGGAGGTGGTGGGTTGGTTGGACCACAGTTGCCAGGAAGCCACTGTTCCCTTGTGTGGCTGAGAACAGGTCCCAGAGCCCCAGGACTCCTGCAGTCAGTGACAGGCTGGCATTCCTCAGGGAGAAAAATTGGAGGCCACCAAAGATCAAGAGCATGAGCTCTAGAGAGGATCACCCTGGTGCCTCTGGCTCATGCAGATAGAAGTGAAGCATCCTCTTCATCCTCTCTTTGATTTTTATGAGTGGCTCCTGCTGGTTTGTTCTGCAGTTTGGAGGTGGTTGCTGAGGAGCTGAGGGTTTGGGCTGCCTGCTGGGAATGCAGGGGTGGGGAAATAAGGGATGGGCAGAAGCTATCCTTGCCCTGGGTGTAGAACCTGGTGTGTACAGTGGGTAGTTGGAGCTCCGAGTGCCCAGGGAGGCTGTACTGGCTGCTGCACCTCATGGGGGGATTTGTTACATGGCTTTAAGTGTGGTGGGTGTAGGAAATCTCCTGCTCATGTAGCAGTGGCAACAGGCTGTGATGGCAAAATGGTTTTGTAATGCCAGGGTATGAAATGTGCTTGGAATGAACAGGCTGATCATGGCAACACAGGCTTCTCACCTCTGTGTCTTGGCTTAGTGGCTGCAAATGACTCCCAGAGGTCCCTGGCAGAGATGGATTCTTCCCTGTTTTCCTGAGTTTTCCAAGCTGGGCTGGCATACTAAAAAAGCTATAGTGGTTAGGGTCTCCTTTTCCAGGCCTTGCTGATTTTTCCTTCCTCTGCACCCAGGAGGATCATGGAGGTGAGGTGGATGACAATGATGACCTGGAACTTGTCCAAGACCAGAAGGACCATGGAGGCATAGAGGGAGCTGGGGGCAAGAAGGATGACTATTACTGAAAGCTGCTGAAGGAAGATGGAATACACTAGGAATGAGGAGATAGGAGCTCCTCCTGGGAACTGGCTCCTGTGTTCAACACTGCCCAGAACAGACACAGGCAGGAGGAGGTAACTGTCTCTGCAGGCACTGAGCAGGCTGCTTGCAGATGTGCATCACATCTGCACGTGTGGGGCCATTGCTGCCTCTCCAGTCACCAGCATGGAAGTGCTCTCAGACTGTAGGAATGATTTCATTCTGCTGCTTCTCTTAGAAGCACTTTTTGATTTACTGTGTTCTTCACCCTCTTGCTATCCCTATCCCCTCCCAAGCTGGAGAGTTTTTCTTATTTTTTTAACACCCTGGTCAGCAGAGGGGAGCCTGAACTGGTCCTGGGGCTTTTACTCAGCTGATTGATAATACAAAGGAATCTGTCTTCATAAAATATTTTGCTCAGTGGTGTTTCTTTAAAACATCCTTTTCTCCCACCAGAGTAGGTGGAGAGGCAGTCAGCCTGCTTGGTCTGGAGTGATGCAAGGTGAGAGCTAACCATGAGCACCAACAAATTACTCTGTGTGTGTGTCTGTGAACAACTGGGTCCTCTCACTGGTGCACAGATTCTGCCACTGACTCAGAGCAGAGCTTGTAGAGTTTTCCCTTCCTTGGCTTTGAGCTGGGACTGTCCTGCTGAGCTTGGAGCCTCCCTTAATGTTGTGCCTCTTGTCTTGACGTGTCTTCTGCCTCCTGAGCTCCTGGAGAAGTGGCTGGCCTGACCTAAGCCAGGCTCTTCTGGGCTGGTGGCAGGGACTGCCACAGAAATAACCAAGCATGGTGGATGGAGCACTTCATGGCACAGCTGTGGGAATTGTTCTTACTTTGTGTAGTATTTTGGTGGTGTGGAAGCCCCCAGCGGGACACGAACAGATTCCGAGGAGGGGCAGACTTAGAGTTTTCAGCTGGAAGCGGCAGGCTGGGAGCAGACACCCGGCTCTGTGAGGGGTGCATCTGCTCAAACCTTCCTGTTCCTGCTGCGGGTACAGCATCCAGGCAGAGCTGTCCCTGCTCTGCCCTCCTCAGGCCACCAGCAGAACCGAGCAGAGCAGAACCCAGCCTGCCTCTGCCCCTCGGACCCCGAAGCTCCTCCCTCCCTGACTTCCTGGCAAACACTCAGCTTGTAGGATCTCCAGAGTGGCTTGAAATGGTTAATGCTCGTTGCTGCTTTGTATTGCTGCCCTTGCTGTCTGATGCAATACTGCTCAGCCTCCACTGCCTGCTATAAATAGCACATTCAGAACGGATCAGCTGGAGTTGCAGATGAATCCTGATCAAAAACTGTCTGCAGGTCTCAGCTGGGCTGGTGAGATGGGCCTGTTTCACAGGTCAGTGCAGGATCAACAGCCAACATGTCTGTGACATGAGCTTCAGGCCTGCGTGTCCGAGCTGTCCCAGTGAGCTCTGTAGCAGTTATTTCTGCTGAATTTCACTCCTGTGCTTCTCTCAGCCTGTGACTGCCCGAGCACGGACATTCAGACCTCACTGGAAGTGAATCAAGTGCTGGAAATAGAACCCCAGTGGGGGTGAGGCTGTGTCTGACTCAGACTGCAGGAGCTATCTAAATTAGGAGGCAAATCCTGTGCTTTTGCTTCTCTAGGATGAGCAATCCTCAAAGTTATGACTCGGAGGGAACTGTAGCAACTCAGCCCTAAATGTGAAGCTGCCTGCTAGGAGGATGCTTTAGCAACCATATGTCAGATGGTGCCCTCAGCTGAGAGCTGAGCATCTCCTCTGCTCTAGGGATCCTCTGCCCTGGCTGCAGCCAGGACTAAAACTGGCAGTGCTGCAGAAGTGATTGGCTGCTGGGTGCTTGGTGCTGCCTTGCAAGTTGCCCCCATCTTCATTACTAGTTGACTGTAACAGGAGATGAAGCAGGAGACAGACCCAGTGGAGAAGAACTGGAAAAGCAGAAAACCTGTGGTGCTGGGGCAGTCTGAAGGCCCAGAAAGCAAGATGGGATGTCTCTGATTTTGATGTGCTGCCTGGGGGTTCACTGCTTAAAGCCAGTAACAGTGTCTTGCCTGAGTGGGGAACTGTTGGAGCAAATACAGGAGAGGTCCAGGCTGAGTTTTACAGCAGACTGAGGCACAGAGGAAGGTCTTAGGAAGCAGCTGGATTACTAAGAGAGCAAACAATGAGACAGGATTCACAGTGCTGGCAGGCTGAGCAAGCCAAAGCATGTGTTTTCACTTGTCTCTTGCATAAATAATTGATTTTTGCTTAGAGAGACAGTGCAAGGCCAAAGGACGCAGGGTGAGGTGTAGTTAACCTGCAGTGGTGTTACATGTTGTCAGGGGTTGCTCTTTATTTTCCTTTGCACCCTGACACAATGATGTAGAACAGATTTCTGTAAACAAATCTATTTCCAGGATTCACGTGATGGGAAAGTATTAAGTGGTTTGGCCACATCTTTAGCCAGATGATGAGAATTAACAGTACATTCTGGCCCCTTACAAGTAAAGGCTTGGACAAGGACAACATATGCCTATCAATTAGTTAAATGAAATCTCTGTTTAATGAAGCCTACTTCTCTGTAATCCCCTTCTTACCTGGAATCCCATTTAGGATTATTAGGCTCATTTACGTGGCATTTTTAGGGGTTAAAATTTCACAATCTAATAGGAGTTTAGTGAGAAGTTTTCTCTAAGACATCCAAGATAGAGGAGAAAAATGCCCCAAACCCTTGGATATCCTGTAGGTGTGAACTGTCTGCACATCCCAACCAAGAATGTTCTCTCATTTCTAATTGTAGATGGGACTTAGAGTAGCAGAGGTTTCTAAGGATGGCTGTTGTTCATATTCTGTGTAGTCTGAGTGGGACTGGCTGTTGTAAAACTAGGAATCTAACCTAGACTGCTGGAGCATAGACCTGCCAGGGAATGAACATCCTTCAGTGCTCATTCCTTCTTTGCACCTTGCAAGAATATTTGTCTTTTCACCCCATCTTTAGTGCCATTTTACACTCGAGCACCTCTGGAGTGAAACCTGCCAGTTTTGCTGAACTCCTGCTGCTTTGGTGTTAGAGAGGAGCAATATATATGGAAAAGATGTCAATATATATGGAAAAGATGTCAATATATATGGAAAAGATGTCAATATATATGGAAAAGATGAGGTAGGCATAAGTATCACTGGCAGGTTGGGGTGTTCTATATCCATATGTCCATGTGCCTGAAGCAAATGTGAAAATCAAAGGAGTATGTGTGTATCCATGTCTTATTGTGAAGAAGACTGGGTCTTGCAGGACTTGCAGGAGTCAGAGGTTCAGGACATGAACCCGCAGGGAAGAATGATTAGATCTTCCAGTTCCTGGTAATTTTGGCAGTCATCCTGGGCAGGACATTTGAGGAGGCTTCCACAGCTTCCCAGGAAATGCTGTATCTCTGGTTAGCTTGTTTTTCCCTCTTCTACAATTTCAAATGCAGGTATTTGAGTTCAATCCAGAGCTAAGGGATGTGGCACATGCAATCAGGTGTCTTCTCTGCTGTGCCAACCACTTTCCTCTCCTGTACCAAACACTAGGCCCATCTTTCCATTGGATCTCTCAGTGGAAGAACTCAACATGTGTTGCAAATCCTAAGGAACACCAGAGGCTGGTGCCAGATCTGATCCCTGAAACAACAGCTCTGCAGTGCAATCTGCTTTTAACAGCAGGAGAACTGCACAAAGTTTGAGGAGACACAACTTGCTTTGTTTGGCTCCAGCCACTTCCTGAACACCCCCATGTTTCTCAGGAAGGCTGATGAGATCTTCAGTTTTGCATCCTAGCTGGAATTCCACAGGTAAGTTTGCCTCAGCCACCACCAAGTGCCTTCAGTCCTTTTGTCCTGGAATAATAACCAAGTGTTTTCCAGGGAGAGCAACCATCACTACAACTTCAGCATCCTGCTGTTTGCTGGGCCTGTTTCTCATGGATTCCTCTTGGTATCAAAGGAGATCTCTAAGAACTTTCTCTAGGCAGGCACACACCTCCCCCTCAGCATTGAATTTGGTTAAAGACTAGATGTGGAAATAAGTTCTAGTACTTCTTAAATTAAAGATTTTTCTCCAGAAACCATAGATTTTAACAAGGCAAGGCTTTCAGACAGGAAAAGGTGTCCTGGTCTGAGGCCATTTTGGTCATGTTGATGTTCAGTGCATCTAGAAAACAAAACTAATGAAACAAGTTCCATGTTGCTGCAAATTACACTTGGTGTGTATTCACCTTCCATCTTCAATGAAGTCCAAGGGGTATGATTTGGGTTTGGTTTTTGTTCAGGTTATGAAAGAAAAACGGGCTTCAAAAAGTCTTATTTTTGTTGTATTTTAAACTTTTGTAAGACAATAAAACACTTTGAAAGAAAACCTGCCTAGTAAGCTTGTATTTCCAAGTAGGTAACACAGGGGGAAACTACACTGATGTGCTTAGGCACATTTCTGGGGTTTTTAACATGGTCATTGTTCTACTTTGCAGGTTAAATACAGACAAATGCATATGTTGTGCCAGGGAAACTGGAACAGGACCCTGTGTTAAATCTGATCAAAACACAAACCAAAAAAACCCCCACTTGGTTTGTGTGGGATGAAACCTGCAACTTGGAAGGACTTAAAGCAGCTTTTAGCAATTGAAGCGTTCAAAGAATCTTCAAGGAGGTATTTTTATTAGTTCCACGAAGAGAGGTTTTGTTTGCACACCGAGCCGGGTTTGCACCTCGGTGTAAGAGGTGGGTCAGGAAGGGGCAGGGGGCAGGGCTGGGCACTGCTGGCTGCTCCAGCCCCTGCTGTGCTGCAGAGCAGCTCCCTCGGGCTCAGGGGGGTGGATGGGCTGAGGCTGCGTCCTGAAAATGGCTTTTGTTTGGAAACGGGCGGAGGGAAAAGTCCCTTTTTCCTTTGGTCTCCCAGCCTGGGGGGCACAGCAGCAGCTCCCGGGGGGGCCCTGCCCGCATCTCTCTCCATCCCTGCTCCCAAGGGGTTAAAGCAGCAGGGTTCT